GATAGATAGATAGATAGATAGATAGATAGATAGATAGATAGATAGATAGATAGATCTTCACTTTCACCTATCCCGTAGACTGGATGTCCGTCGGGCGATTTTGAAGATTTGGCCACCAGCTTCCTCCGCTCTCTCCGGTCTTCGACTTTCCTGAGCGTGTCTTTGAGGTCCAGTTCTTTCTACTACCTGATGTTGTCCTCCCAACTCTTCTTCGGTCTGCCTCTGCTCCGTGTTCCCAAGACGCTGCCTTGCAGGATTATCTTCGCAAGGCCGGATGAGCGGGTGATGTGTCCATGCCATTGCAGTTTGCGCTTCCTGACCAGATTGAGAAGGTCAGCAAATGATCCAATTGCATTTTTGATCCGTTGTTTGGCTTTATCATTTGTGGTGTGATCTTTATTTGAGATACCAAGGATTTTCGGAAGCATTTCATCTCCACAGCTTTGATTCTTCTTTCAAAGGTCTGCATTCAAGTTCTAGGATTCACATGCATACAGCAACATTGACATGACAAGGGAACGCATCAGTCTGATCTTTGATCTGATCGTTATATTTCTGTCGTTCCAGATGGTTTTCAACTTGGTCATTGCTGCTGAAGTTTGGGCTATTCTGGAGAGTATTTCTGGTTTTGATCCTTCATCTGTCACTAATGTACCCAGGTATTTGAAGCTGTGTACGGTCTCACGTGTGTGGTTGGTGACCTGGATGTCCACTGTGATATTCTTGCTGCTGTTAGACATCAGTTTGGTTTTCTCAGAGCTGATTTCCATGCTGTAGACTATGGAACATTTTTCAAGACGGTCCACTAAGCTGACAAACTCTTGCTCTTGTCCCGCAAGGCCGTCTATGTCGTCTGCAAAACACAAGTTAGTAATCGTTCTACCCCCAATACTGGAATATATCTAACACCTCATTCCAGATATATAGGCATGGATAAATAGAGAGAGAGAGAGAGAGAGAGAGAGAGAGAGAGAGAGAGAGAGAGAGAGAGAGAGAGAGAAAGAGAGAGAGAGAGAGAGAGAGAGAGAGGGGGGGGGAGAGAATTAATATGACGTGTTGATATAACAACATCGAGTACCTCATTTTTCTCAGACTTTCGACAGTGGGACCACAAGGGTGACGTTTGTCTTTACGTACGTATACTCTGTCTCGAGTAAATAGGCCGAAAACTGTCCTTCGTCTTGCAACGATACTTGAGGTGAGTTGTTAGATATTTAAGTTTATGCCATACATAGAGTTGTTTTAACATTACACTTCCGATTAAATAAATCTTTATATTCCACATGTGAAATAAACCAGAAACCCAGATTTTCTTTCTTATCCTCACTGTGTTTCCGACAGACATAAAAACAAAACTTCTGCGCTCATGGGTAGTTCTTGAATGGGTCCTCTTCACCACTTGACTTTTTATTTGAATTTTGTTGGTCCAGATCTATTTCATCAGCTGATACCAGTATGGCATAAATAATATATTACACTCGTTATGATGGTAGATCATATTTTAACTTGTGAAATAGTCAGTTGTACTAATTCGTTTGAACTCAGGATTACAATTTGGCAATTTAACTCATAGGATAAATAATGATCTACCATAACTCATGTAATAAATTCTTTCTGGTCTAGAGCTGAGTAGGGGTTTTTGTTTGTTTGTTTGTTTGTTTGTTCGTTTGTTTTTGGAAGACGTAGGATGGGAAGGGTTTTAATTTAAGTATGAATAGAAATTTACAAATTTGAATTATATCAGGTGGTGCAGTTATGAATGAATGAGAGGTTAGTAACAGTAGACGGTACCGCTAAATGTGGGGCAGAGTGGTGAAATCAGGCACTCGTCAAAATAATGAAATTTAAAAAAAACAACCTGGCATTTTCCGGCCGGTTTGGTTCCTTCCATCGATTTTTTACTTTCTTTTTTTTGTTTTTGTTGGTGGGGGGTGTACTCAACACCTTTTATGTCCATTTAAGAATACATTTCTGTTAAGACATTACTGAAAAAAAGTTGATTGAAGGCACGGAAAAGGTAAATTTTCAGTTTCAGGGACTCTCAACTAATGGAAATAACGCAGCTCCTCCAATAGCAAATATGTCGACTTGTATTCAAGATAAATGGGTGTTTAAATTCATAGAAAGCAAGACAAATGAACAAGCTTTAAGATGATGCCAATAACTCCACAAGCCCAAAAACTGACGAGCTCCTGATCCCATCGCGTAATGACACAAATATTGTTAACAGCTTTGGACTTTAGTTAATTGTACTGGCTGGGCTCAGAAGTGACGTGTTTTTCCTTATTGTTATCTTGCTGTTAGTCCCGCAATATGTCCAATTCAATCACTTGTTGTGCAAATGACCAGTTCCCTAGTTCCCATATTATCCCCCTACCGTTTTTTGCCTCTATTATAACGCTACTAACTGTACAAGAGGACCACGTTTCTAAGTGATCAGTTTTCTCCTCGATAATGTGGGGTCGTCTTGGACAGGTCCCATCGACTGTTCTCTTTTAACCCCCAGGGAAGAACGGAACATCGTCTCACCGCACTCTGATTGAGCCTCTACCGACTGTATGTGGGTTCAACCTCAACACTGATTTCCTTGTGAGCCAAATCGTAGAAATATTATAACCACTTCACTGAGAGACGTTCCGACCTTCCGTCAAATCAACAAACACACGCACATACAGTCACCGCCCCTCCCCCTCCATACATACACACACTCAAAGGATACACATATGCTCTCTATTTCTCTTTCTCTCTCTCTCTCTCTCTCTCTCTCTCTCTCTCTCTCTC